GCTTCTGGTTGAAGTCTGGAATGAATCGTGGTAGTGCTTCTATTGGGAGTACTGGGGATAATAGTGCTGTTTCCCCCATCTTCTTTCGATAGCTATCCTATATGGAGAGGGTTAGCAAGGTGGTTGGCAGTAATTCCCAGTTTTTTGGTCTGTGAGTTTTTGGCAGCCATGCCAGAAGTGGCAGAGAGAGTCCCCTTGCATGGTTCTTCTCTATTTCAGCCCACGCCACCGGGTTACGGCTGTGTGATGTTGCCAACAGTGGTGCAATGTGAGCCGCTCGATATCCCACCACCTCAGGCAGGCCCATTCTGCCTTGGGTGAACAGTCTGTACATCGTGGTTCTTGCCACTCTCGGTTTCTTGTGGTCCCATACATAATCGTTCAATGTGTTTTGCAATTCTAGCAGGTAATTTTTTGGGAGAGTGAGTGGGAGCGTGCAAAACAGGTACTGGATTTTCGGTAGGATCACCATTTTCACTGAGGCTATTCGGCCCGTCCACAAAATGTATTTTCTCTTCCAACTGTGTAGGAGAGTTTTGATTTCAGTGATCAGTTTAGTGTAGTATGCCTTGAAGAGCGTGTGTGTTGTTGGTGTTAAGATGACTCCTAAGAATTTGATGTGGTCCTGTCTCCAGTCGTAATTGAAATTTGTTTTTAGGGTCGTCAAGTCTGGGCTGGCGATATTGATTCCTAGGGCTAGAGTTTTTGCGATGTTCAGTTTATAGTAGGAACATTTACTGTATAGGGAGAGGGTTTTATGGAAGTTGGGTAAGGACATATTTGGCTGCTTAAGAGTTAATAGGATGTCATCAGCAAATAGAGATAGTTTATATTCTTGGCCTCTGGTCTTAATCCCGTGTATGTTTGGATTACTGCGTATTAGTTGGGTGAGGGATTCTAACGCTAGGATGTAGAGTATCGGGGATAGTGGGCATCCTTGTCTAGAGCCGTTGGAGATATGAAATGGTTTTGATATGAATCCCCCATTTGCGACATGTGCTGTTGGGGAGGAGTATAGTGCTGTGACTAGTGATAGGAACTGTGGCGGGATAGGACCGCCAGTAAGAATGGGATATAACAAGGGATATAACAAGTCTAGGGTTTTACGTGTGCCGTCTGCTCCCTGCCTGCCCCCTACAAACCCCACCTGATCCTCACCTATAATTGTGTGGATAATGGGAGCCAGTCTGATGGAGAAGATCTTTGCGATAATTTTCAAATCTGTGTTCAAAAGAGAGATGGGCCTTAAATTTTGGCTGCGGGTTAGAAGTTTCCTTGGTTTGGGGAGTGTGGCAACGTGTGCCATGAGCATCTCTGATGGCATCGTCCCTGTTTGTAAAGCATGGTGAAATGTGTTCCGTAGCTGAGGGGCCAGGATTGTCGCAAATTGTTTGTAATAGGAGTTGGTCAGACCGTCCGTGCCTGGTGATTTCCCATTTGGGAGGTATTGGACAGTGTCAATTATTTCTTGCGTGGAAATGGGGTTTTGTATGATGTCTTTTTGTGCGGTCGTTAGCGTGGGTAGCGTGGTAGTTTGGAGGAAGTCGTCTCTTTCTTGTGGGGTGGGTTGGTGTAGTGTGGGGTCTGTCTTTAGGTTGCAGAGGGAGTGGTAGTAATCGGCCATGCTATCATTGATGTCTTGTGGGTTGTGGAGTTTCCCACCTGTGTTTGTGTTCAGGTATGGAATTTTGGAGTTGGCCTGTTTTTGGCTGAGTAAGTTGGCCAGTTGTTTACCTGCTTTGTTGCCTTGTGTATATGTTTTCAGTTTGGTGAGAATGTGGTCTGTTTTACCAAGTGTTAGTGTGTTAATTTGTGTGGTGATTTGTTTTATGGATTCAGCATGAGTGTCAGATGGGTTTAAAAGATGTGTTGTCGTAGTGTCTCTCAACATTCTGAGTAGGTCAGTATATTCTTTGTCCCATTGGCGCTTGAGGTATGATGCTCGGCTTATCAGCAGTCCCCTCAGGACTGTTTTGTGGGCCTGCCAGATGGAGAAGGTGGAGGCTTCAGAGTTGTCATTATGGTGGAAGTAGTCTTGTAGGGTTGTAGTCAGCTGGTCTGTGAATTGCGCGTCGTGTAGGAGCGAGTCGTTGAGGTGCCACGGGGGCTTACCTCGGTGTTGGTAGTGGATAGTTAGAATTAGTGGGGCATGGTCGGACCATACTATATTCCCTATGGCGCAGTCTTCTATTTGTGGTAGGAGTGGGACAGATGCAAGGATGTGGTCAATTCTGGAGTAGGTTTTATGTACTTGAGAGAAGAATGTATATTCTCTTGCTGATGGGTGTCTTGTTCTCCAGGTATCGTATAGACCGTATTCATGGATGAGTTTCATGAATGCTTTGTTATTGGGTTTGAGCTTGTGGTGTCTGGTCGATGTGATGAGGGTTTTTGAGTCTATGCTGTTGAGTCCATGGTGTTATTAAAGTCACCGCAGATAATCGTAGAGACAGTCTAATCAGCCGGTAGTTTGTTAAGGACCTTATGTAGGAAGTTGCGTTGCTGGTCTTTGGGGCTGTAGGGACATACTAGAATGATTGGGCCAATGATTATTCAGTGTAGGATCACAAATCATCCCTGCCCATTGTGGCGGAACCAGCCTCGAGACTGGGCATTGGAGAAGACTGATTGCCACCCTCCTGCCCTGTGACTATGGCCCCATGTTGAAATGCTGGATTTTCCCCTGCAAAGACCCGAAAGCCGGGTCATTCGGTACTTTCCCTATGTGAGCAGTGTTACCCCAGATAGCTATGCCATGGAGCCCATTCGTATAATGAAAGACTATGTGAAAGACTTTGGATCCATGGCAATTGAACTGTATGTATGTGATCTGAGCGCCATTCAGCAATAATTTGCGCTCAGATCTAAGCTATCTGGGGATATGTTGAATGTACCCGTTTTATGCAATCGCTGCACATTTATATATATTTTTAGGTATTTTATTGTATTTTGCTACCATGTGGCTAATGGAGTTTTGCCTCTGTCCTTGGAGATAATTGGATTACTTCCCAATTATCTCCAGGATAGAAGACTCTGTGATGAACTGGTTTTGGGCAGAAAAACCATGCTTCATTTTGTCAAATAGGACTTTCCCTTAACTTTTTAACCCGTGAACCGATTGCCCTAATTTTTAAGTATGTGTATATTTCAAGCATGCGGATTCTGAAAATTTATGTTTTATGTGAATGGCATGTATATTTTGGAAGTTATTCATATTTTGTAAAAACTGTATTTCTCTGCCTGTGATAATTATATTACCCATTGTGTTCAGTAATCATATCACAGGCAGAGGGGAGAATTTTGTGTGGGAGTGTCTGTGTGTATTGTCCGGATTGATTGGTTGTATTTCAAAACCCTGTGGGCAGTACTATGTTTGTGGATTGTGAATAAAAGAGGCTGTATGTGCCAGTACAATCAGTTCTGTTTGACCTCAAAACGAAGTGTCGTCTTGTTATTGGAGGAATTGGATTGTATGCTGATTGCCAGGAGTGTAAGCTGATTGTAGGCTTTTCCTGTTCTGTTGCTTACGGCATTCATATGCTTGAGAGCATTCGTATGCTTCTCCGGTTCGGTGGTTGTGGTGTCTGCTGCAGTGCTTGGAGTCCTCAGGAAGCGCTAGGAGCATCCTTCAATGGAGGTACCAGTCAGGGTGCCAGATGATCCATTACAGCCGTCTTTGTTGATACTGAGTGTTTCTACAGTTAGGGAGTTGTGCAGCAGAATTGAGACCCCTCTGGACTTAGACTTGTGTGTTGCATGGTATTGTGTCGGATATTCTCTAATGGCGAATGTAGGGATGCGGTTGGTGTGTTTCCTGTATATAGACTCTCTGCCTTGGTTCATTTTAGATCATCCAGTAATATGCACCTTTTATGTGGCGTATTGAGGCCTTTTGTATTTTGTGAATAGATGATCATAAAAGCGGCAGCGTGGGTGGTGGTGTTACTTTCTTGTTTATGTGGTTAGGCTTTTCTGTAGTTTTGTGGTTTTGCAGGGTTGGCTGGGGAGGAGGGTAGAGCAGAAAGAACTAAGGGAGGGTAGGGTCGGTTGTGTTCGGGGTGTTATATACAAAGACCTATTGTCTGGTACGCTAATCGTACCGTGGGGTTTTGGATGTGAGCCTCCAAGCGAGTGGCTATCTGGGCTCCATTCTGCGTCTATAGTTGGAGCTGAAACCGTTTATAGACAGATTAATGAACTGCAGGAATAAAGTATTAAAGCATAAAGTATTAAGTATTAGAGCATTATGGCATATCACACAACATAACATTAAGAGAGGCAGCTGTGTTAACATTCTCTGATCGTGTATCCAGCTATATCGGCTAGCATATTATCGTGTCATCCTGTACATCTCGCCCTGTTGGGTGTCCTCCTCACATCATACTCATTTCTTACACGGGGGCTTCGGGGTGATCGTGCATATTGCCTGACTTGGGGGGGGTTACTTGAGGCTCCAAGGCCTCCAAGGGCGTCCCCTCGGTGAGGGATTATTTAGCTCATTGTGTCGTGTATAGGCATATTAGAGGGGACCCGGCTACGTGTGTTGCCAATCATTAGGCCTCCCGTGTGGTCTCCCTCCCTTTGTCCCTCTTATGGTTGTGGTGCGTCGACTCTCCTTACTCGGATAGTGGCAATGGGGAGCATGTGAGTGCTGCACTGCTAAATGCGGTCTATCCTGATGTAAGCCTCGGCCTCTAAGGCCGGGTCTGCCCTGGTCGACCCGTGGGTCTCACGCCACATGTCCCCCGGCATAGCTTTAGAGTGTCCTCCCTATTTTTTAGTGGGTGGTAGTGTGTGAGGATAGTCTGGGTGCCCGTATTACTTAATATGCATGGTTTAAGAGGTGAGAAGAGAAGGGCGATTGCTGGGTTGATCATAATATACCTGCAATTAAAGACATAAAATGTGGCTGACATATCATACAGATAACGATATATAATACAGTTATGGTATTGGTTATGGTATGGTAGGCCCCATTCTACCAACACCGTCATTCCCTCCTATGGAGATGCAAAGTATGTCGATTTCCCATTTTTGGTTATGATTATTTTCGTGGGGAAGCCCCACCTGTAGCAGATTCCGTGGTTACGGAGTTCCGTGGTGACTTGATTGAAGTCCCTTCTTCGACGCAGGGTTGCCGCTGAAAGATCCGCCATGATGCATTCGGACAGGTATTCTTTGTGCGGGTCAGCTTTGCTGCGATGTGACTTGAGAACTAGTTCTTTAATGTGGTAGTAGTGTTCCCTGAGTAAGACATCGCGAGGAGTGGAGTCAGGTGGCTTTGCCACCCAGTGCACCCTGTCCAGAAGGAGCATGTCCGCCGGGATGTCCGGGACTGTGACGAGAGCAATCTCGCCACATTACATTGGAGAAGCCTGGTTGCTCGCCTGTTGCCCAATGATAAAACTTGTATTTTCCTCTGCAGAAAGGCTTCTTCGTGCCTTTCTGCCAGGGTGTTCGGTAAATTCTATGTACCGCACAACCGCACGAATGACTGGACCGCCTGGGAGGTGGAGTATGTCGTCAATTTACCTCCCAGAAGCTGCGGTTAACCGCAGCTTAATTGACAATTACTGGGTGGTCGCGGTTACAACTAGCCGCCACACGATGGCAGTGTTATGGAAGCTCCCCGAGTAGCCAGCGTTTGTTCTACCCAGCGGCAGGACACCAAAAGCGGACACTTTTGTCTTCCAAGCCCCGCTGAGGCTGGAAGTCTGCAAACTCGTTCGGGAACCGAACAGCGGAGCATTCGGGACTTTTAGTGTTGCAATGTATTCGGTGTAAACGTACCCAGATAGCCTGCCATGGAGCCTGTTTGTGGAATTAAAGACTTTGGCTCCATGGCGATTAAACTGTATTCGTGTGGTCTGAGCGCCATTCGCTTAATAATGTGCGCTCAGACCTGAGCTATCTGTGGATATGTTAAATGTATATATTTATTGTAAACTTTCTAACATGGGGGATTTTAACAGTAATTCCTGTATTGGTTTCCACACGTGCATAATGGCGATTTGCCTTTGTCCTGGGAGGTAATTGAAGATAAAATAATGATTCAAATTAGCAGATTATAGCAATAAATCTCCTGCTTTATCAGTGGTTTTATTGCTAGTAATAGCTACATGTGTATACAGACAGATAAGGGGAGAGAGAATCTGCAAAGCAGTCCTTTATGTAGAATTTCACCGTAAAAGTTTCCTAAAACTACTGTATAGTTGGTGATGGTTTCTCTTTAAACATTTATCCATCTGCAGCAGAAACTCCTATACACCCAATTTGGGGAGTTCAATGTTTAGCTCCATATTGCACTCTATGTACTGGGAGCCATTTTTAAAAGACTCAGTTAATGTATTCCTTGCAGTAGCAACCCAAACAGATTACCAAAGCAATAACTTTCCAAAATGCTTTGCAATCAGAGGGGGCTTGAAATTGCCCCGCTCACTCACTGTAAAGGTAAATCTGAAACATTCTCTATAAATTCCTACATTGCTGTGTACGACAATGTATAAAAATCCATGAACATTTGTCTGGCTACAGACAGGTATTCAGGACATAGCACTTAAATAACTGAACTGTTGTATGGATGTTATTTTATATTTCCTTTTTGGTGTGGGGGAATTATAACTCTTACCAATAATCTGCTCAGACCGTTCCATGTATTTGTATGAACATTGTTTTTTTTTTTTGTTAACCTCTTGCAACCATTGGACATCCAGACAAGCTGCGATAGTCCCAGTACTGACTGTCCAAATAATAGATTAAGTGTGTTTGCCTTGCGAGAGAGGACTGTGACCTGTCGCGGAGCAATGGCTTATTGTCCCCTCTGGCAGGAAAAATGTTAATGGGTTGTGGTACTTTATTTCTGTATTACAAAACAAACCATAAAATAAAAAAAATATAAAAAAAAACTTTAAATAAATGCCAAACTTCTGGAACATAAAAAAAAATTTAAAATCTTCCCTAAGCCTAAAGTCATTTAAGAGATCCCTATCTACATACCTCAAAACAGAATGCACGTGTCATGGTTGATTATATATTTCCTGCCTGTTCTATGTTAAATTTTTGTATATATTGTGTATTAATATTGTTTTTGTATTTTGTTGTACCTAATGTAACAATGCAATGATTTGTGGACCCAGGACATACTTGAAAACGAGAGAAATCTCAATGTATCTTTCCTGGTAAAATATTTTATAAATAAATAATAAATAAATCTCCAGGGCAGAGGGAAGGAAGCCAGGATGCATAGTGTGACTGTGTGTCCTAGATTGATGCTTGTCTGTCCTTTGTTACAGTACGATTAGCGTACCAGACCAATAGGTCTCTGTATATAACACCCCGAACACAACCGACCCTACCCTCCCTTAGTTCTTTCTGCTCTACCCTCCTTCCCAGCCAACCCGGCAAAACCACAAAACCACATAGTGTGACTGTGTGTCCTAGATTGATGCTTGTCTGTCCTTTGTTACAGTCCCCTTGGGGAGTGTCCACCAGGTGGGAGATACATAAATACTGGGCAGGTAGTCCTCATTAAACAGACCACTGCTTTAACCCTCAACAAGGAGCCTTGTCTCGTCCTTGGGGGGATTTACTGTATGCTGATAGAGACTGATTGCTAGGAGTGTAAGCTTTTCCTATTCGTCTGCTAGCAGCTATTCGTATGGTTCCAGTTTGGGAGTTTGGAGTGCTATATTGTATGCAGTTCGGGAGATTGGAGCATTCCCTTATTTGTGGTTCGGGAGTTTGGTGTTCTACAGTAGCTGTGCCTGCATCTCTGGAAGGGGAAGATCGCCTAAACGTTTTTAACCCCTTGTGTGCTGAAACGGTCCGTTACAATTGGTGGCAAGCAGTGGGATCATTCCTACAGCCAGAAGGACAGCTACAGGAGACACCATTTCTTTGGATTTTACTATTTGAGGGCAACACATGTCCCAGTACAGCGACCCTGACAGCACCAGGATGGAACCAGCAGTGGAGTACAATGAGGGTGTCATGGATGACCGAGATGCAGTTCGCAAAGGCATTTGGTACCAGGCACTGGGCATTGTGGAGTACCAGCGGAGCGAGAGACTCCCCAAGGAAGACCAGTGATTGCAGAAGCGACTAGCCCTGCGGATGCCCTTCCTGGGAGAGCAGCCCCTGGAGGAATGGGTGAAGGAATTGGAGCTCTGGGTATGGCAGGAGATGTGGCTGGAAGATGCCTACCAGGCGCTCTGGTGGTATGGGGCACAGTACCTGCCCTGGACAACAGAGCATGACAAGCCAGAGGGAGAGGAGTTTGATGGTCCTGGCTTGTTATGGGAGTCTTTTTCAGAGCCCGGGTTTGGGAGCCCTACACAAGCCCGGTTCAGTGATCTCTTTGAGTGGAGGGCGAGCAGGTATGACTGGTATGACAATCATGAGATTGAGCAAGACCTGGTCCACCTAGTGACCCGAGAGATGGAGCTGGAGCAGGGCTACCAAGATCTGTTCCACTCCAGTGAGAAGGCTCAGCAGGGAAGCGGAAACCCAGATCCAGACCCATCTTGTACCTGACATCCTTGGACAGCTCTTTGGTCTAAACGGACGCCTAAACGGACCCAGAAGTGATCCAAACCAGAGCTGGGTTAATAGCGCTACGTTTGTAAGTGCATATACATTATATTTAAGATCCACTATCCTATTTTGTATGATCTATACTATGTCTGATTGTCTTTTATAGAAATCTACACATATTCTGACATAAAGAAAAAAACTTTTATCTGGATTAATAACAGGTGATTAATCTACCTCTGTACTTTTAGAGCGCTACATTCTTTGATTTTTTGTATCTCTGTTATGGTGTTATTGCAAGGAAACACTGGAATGTCTAGCAGCTAACTAAAAATAACTATATATTGGTCTATTGAAATTTAAACAAATAAGCGCTGGTTCTGAACTATAAACTGTTGTTTGTTGGAGTATCCTGGCCCATCTCCCAGTAATGGGGCAAAATGTTCTGCAATAGTTTACGCTCTTACCTGTGTCCTTGTTTACATTGAAGGTACTCCAGCGACCTATGACACATCCGAATTTGGAGAGCTGACGAAGGCAGAAGCTGATCTTATTTATTGACTGAAAGCACCAACTGACTGCTCTCAGCAAATGAACACAACTCTGTGCATAAGAATATGCACATATATAAAATAAGCCACACAGAACTCTTGAATTACTATGTGCAGAATTTTATAGTAAAACTGAAGTGGTTAAGGGTGTTTGGATTTACGCTTTAACTTGTGTATGTACTATATTATTGGAAGGAGTTAATACAAAAAGTGAAACAATATAGTATATGCATCTGCACCACAAATTTATTTCAGAAAACTCAACTTAAATCTTTTTGCCAATTTATCCTGCAATGGAATTACACTACCCTTTATGGCATGTTAAATTAATTAATGTGGCTAACACTCCTAGCCAATTATACCCTTTTACAAATCTTGCCTGGGACATTGTCACTTTTCCAGTAAGTTCCTAACAGCCCAGGGAGTGTTTTCACCCCCTCTATTAACAGCCCCTATTACTTAAAGGAACATTAACAGCACCTTACTCTCTATTTGCATTTACAATTAGAAATCAAGTAGTGCACAGCTGTTTAACTCTCATATAACCTACCAGAAAACATCAAATTCTCTTCAAGCCTGCAAACTCTGAAAAAACTATCTCTGTCTAAGACTCTGACCTGTAATAACTGCTAATATTCTCTGCATGACAAATGTGCAATCTTTAACTAAATAGCAGCGCTCGGAACTCCAAGGATATCTTGTTCCTGGTAAACCACTTTTAAAATACACAAATCATCAAAAATAAATGCATTGATGTGTTGCATCTCCCTGTGAGACAAAACTGTAAATTCATTTAGTAAGTAAAGTAAGATAAAGTGCTTAATTAATTGAATATAGCATAGTACAGAAGACCATACACATAATGGTCCATACCATTAAATAAAAACTAAACATTGTGGCCCCACTCTGTTAAATGTCTACCTGCCAAGGTACATTGGTAAGCAGTCACAATTATAATACAAGTAGTGTAGGTATTGTTAGTTACGTCCAGATGTTACCCACTAATTCAAGGCTCAGAAAATTAGACCTTGATACTGGTTCTAACAAAAGTTCATAGGTTATTGAAATTTTCATTTTGATGTCTGCTTAAGAAGAGTTGCCCTCTGGGACGTGAAACCTGTAAATTTTTTGTGTGTAGTTGTCCACTGGCTTTTATCTACACATATGGTATTCCTGTGTTTGTATTTTATTCGTATCAAAGTAAAAACTAAGTATTAATTGTCTGTTGGCCATTGTAATTATGAAGTGTATACTCATGTAACCTGTAACATTTATGATTACTATAATAATAATAATAATAATAAGTCTCTTTATGTGTATATAATATAATAATATCTGTATGTGTATATTAGACTCTTTGAGCACTCATAAATATATTAAAACATATACTAATACTTAGCTTTTATAGCTGGAGATGGGTGTAGCAGCCTTCCCTGAGACAAACCTGCACAAACATATAATCATGATAAGAATCAGAATAAACCTCCGGAGACCCAATGCACATGGGAGTGGGATATTGTGGGGATATTTATGGGATGATAATATTAAGCAGTCGAGAATTGCCCACTATTTCAATCCTCTTAGATCTTAGAGATTGTTATCAAATAAGTGAAAAGTATTCCATACAATTAATGATCACAATGTGTTATAAAAATAGATTTATTTTTATTGTAATATATTAATTAACAATATTATTAGGCAACATGCATGATAATAATCAGTGAATATTTAGTATAACATAGTATACAATACAATGGAATGGGTATACACATTTCAATGGCTAAACAGCATTTTCTGTCAAGACTTAGTAAAGCTTTTCACAGCGAAGAGCCATAAAACCCTGGCTAACAGTTAAATCAACTGAATAACCCTTTCAATGCTGGCTAGATCCTCCTAGGCATATAGTATCATATTCTCCTGTGATTTTCAATTAAAATAACATTTGAACCAACTCATTAATCATTTCCTGGAACCATCCAATAAGAATAATCTACCAGATTCTATAAGCAGAATTTGTCTAAAAAGATATCTTATCTTATTTTAGAGCAAATCAATACACATGGATAAAAACAGCGGTATGCTAACACGTGATACTATCACATTAATATATAATTATTCTTAATTCCACCTGCAGAATGGAATGTTATTACTATATATTCTTTAGTTAACTAAGATTTCTAAATGTTGAAATCTGACCGTGGTTTATCCAGTCATATATCATGCTATTAGTAAATTTTAATTAATTTAAATTAATTAAATAAAGCCAGCATAATTACCAGTTATGTAGATATTCTCATCAGATGAGTAGGTAGTCCCAGAGATTGTCCTGGATTTCTCTGCATGTCCGAATCGGATGCCCAAACTTCCAATTCGTCTCTCTGTCTCTCAACTCCAACTACTCCCTTTGTCTTTACTTTTAAAGGGCCAGACTCTCTGTACGTCATTAGTTGATAACCCAATAGGAAGCCATAGGTGTGTCCAATCTAGGGATCGCAATTTAGGTATTTGATCCATAGAGGGCAGTCTCGTCTAACGAAGCCTTCCTATCCAGGAAAGAGTTAACTTTTCCCGATGACGATTTTGACGTCATTTGGCTTATCTAAAATGACTACCATAACTTAGATTTGCTGTCAGTTCAAAGCGTTTG